AAAAAAAATTTTAGTTCATAAAAGCAATTTTTTAAGGGCATTTTCGGGTTTTTTTAGGGCATTATTTAGAGTTTTTAGGTCATAAAAGCATTTTTTTTAGGACATTTTTCGGGGGTTTTTAGGGCATTAAAATCCCAGCCCTATTCAAACACTGAAATCAATTTAATGTTATGAAATCAGAATTAATTGATGAAAAGATAACTTTGGAAAAGATGAGACATTAACATTCGTACGAAAAACGAACAACCGCGGTGACGGTAGTACGGTACACACTATTGTGATTGAACAGCTGTATAATTTAATTTATTGTTTATTATTTATATAAAATCGGTATTGTGCACCATTTTCCGACGATAGTTAATGTTTTTCGTTTCGTTCGTTTACAGCGTGAGTGGCTGCAGAGGGATGTGGACAGAGAGAGAAGACTGCGTTTGGACACGGAGGCGAGACTCAAGGGTTCCAGTTCCGAAGCAGACAGATGCCGTGTCAAGCTGTCGACTCTGCAAAAAGACTTTACCAAGTGAGTTTTTTTTTTTTTATTTGCATTATTATTATTATTATCATAAGCATCGTTGTTTTGATTTTGCCCCAACATTTTTTACAAACTCCTTCTTTGGCCTGYCAGCAATAAATATAAGCGCCGATATACCTAATTGTTATATATTGATATATTATATATATTTTATTTATTTATTTATTTTGTTGTGCCATTTTGAACAAGGTAACCCATAAAACAAATTTCAGGTTTAGCTGTATTATTTATTTTGAGTGTCCAGGGAGAACAAATATATAGGTTAGGTTCGATTAAGTACTATTAAGGTGCTTTATACCCATAAATTTACTTACCAAATACAACTGGCATCCACAATATAATATATAAACTTATGTAAAGTACCTACACATAGTTTTTCAAAAATAGTAATAATATTGTGATGTTTTCATACTATATAATATAGGTGACATATTAAATAAAGTGTTGGTCCCCGTTATCTACAAAAAAAAAACTACATGTGGCCTGGTAATGATTTAAATGGCCTGCAAAAATTTTGGCACCAACAATAAAAAAGTTGAAATGACGCCCCTGTCTCAAGCCCGTTCGGATTACCGCGTCTTTCGAATTAGCCTGCAGTGTTCGGATTATAGAGACCCTACTGTACTTACTACTCATAGAACTATCTAGTTGTATGTATTTAATCGGGTTAGATACACCGTAAAGTATGCATAAATATATATATTTTATTCTATAATAAGTACAGTTCAKTAGTTGGAGAAATACCGTGGCATGATAAACCTCCCCTTTTTTCCTCCATGATATTAATTCCCCTGTAGCACATAATCTCCTCAATAAATACCAGTATTCCKCATCAACCCCTATTTAATCGATTGTACATATTTTATGTTGAATCGTGTTCAAATCTAAAATGTATGACGTAAAATAAAAAGTTAAATGTAAGTACTCCAAGCAGTTTTTTTTTCTAATGCTTTGATACTTCCCATATTTTATTTTGATGGTGGTGTGTTGATATGTTCCTATGTGTGTTGAAAATCGGCTGATAAAAATTGATTGGATAATTATAGGCTTTTCGTTAAGATCAAATCAAAGTTTTTGATATAGTTGAATATAATCGTGACGCGTGAACATCCCCACTTATTTTAAGCCACTTTTACTACGATGAAGATATCTTAGATACATATAATTATACAACTCTAACGGAGTATGTATAGCTTACAGTATATAGATAATACTATATACTATTCAGTATTCAGTATTCAATCAGTGTTGGGCGTTATATTCGTTTTATTTCTGACATCCGCCATCACTGAAAGTCTGAAATGTGTTAGTATATTATTTAATAATATAGGCAACGTAGAATAATAATWATTATTTTAACGTGGACGATCGACGCTGTAGTTATAATATTTCTAAAATAGTCGTAATTTTAAAATAAAGCATAGGTTTACTATTGTTATGAAAAGTGAAAATCCATTTTTGTTATTTTACAACGTATTATCTACAAGTATAGATACGTCCTTATATGTTTTGGTATTCGGTGACACGTCATGTTCTGTACAATATTAAAATGGATTTCTAAGTCAATTTTGTTTATTTTTCGAGATGCAGACAATATTATATTATTTATCCGAAGGTAACAAACGGGACACAATTTTCTATTCACGTCGGTGGCCACCCTATGGACGTCTTCCCCTCTTGAGTTAAATGCGCGCTAGGTCTTTTAACGACCCTAATTGTGTGAGTATTTATAGAGTATATATTATGTATATGATGTGCAACTAAGCGCGAATAAAGTCTCCTGCTGGCATGCGTTCCACTGTAGTTGTCGTTGTCGACTGATAATTATTTGTACCACGCGTAAAATTTAAAATTATTCTACGAATAATCACAACAACTATTGTCATCGTACAGCCATCGACTTATGTACAAAAATATAAATAGCATTAAAACAATCATTGTCCTTTATTGCTTGTGAAAACTCAAATAAACGCAAGCTCTGGTTCTAAATAGAATTTTAATTTTTAATTTTTAAACATATCATTGATGCATATTTCGACTTGTCGCTATATAATATTAGAACTTTGTTTTTGTTTTTACAAAACTGTTTATACCGTAACACTTTTCCGTAAGATATTCAAAATGTAAGGTAAGTGGATGTTACTCTGCTGTGCAGGATATAGTTTACAAGTGGGTTACTGTAATGGATGGTATTAAATTTGAATTCAATGATATAATATCATTGTATTATACGAAAAACGATTCTGAGCGGAGACGGTTTGACGGTCTAGGATATATGTTATACTATATTAATTATTTGTAATTGTTTCAAAAAAAAAAAAACTATATAGGTACCTATAAAATAAATTCCAAATTAATCAAATCAGATTCATTATGTACTCGACTCACTCAGTCATTCATAGAAGTGTAGTATACCTAATCTCTCGATGGTACACAAAATAATCGATGACCAATTAATACTATTTTGAATAACATTATTATACATAAAACAAACACACAAAAATACGGGTACTCATACCACTGAAAATGGTGTCCCCCAGGGCTCAGTCATCAGTGTCACCCTGTTCTTAATCGCAATAAATAATATATTTGACAATATCCTTCCCCCTATAAAGTATACYATCTTTGCGGATGATTGTAACATTCTCTGTAGTGGCGTGAACATAAAAACAACAGTCGAACTCATCCAGCAAGCTCTCGATGAACTCTTCAAGTGGTCAACCRCAACAGGCTTCAATTTCTCACCATCCAAAACACAATGTATCATCTTCCACAAAAAACGTAATGAAAACTTATTCCACATAAATTTAAATAACACCATTATATCATATACAGATAAAATAAAAATACTAGGTATGACTTTCGACCACAAATTAAATTGGAACCCACACCTAAAAAACCTCAAAATAAATGCAAACAACAACATGAAAATTATGAAAACCTTATCTCACCACTCCTGGGGCTCTGAAAAAAATTGCCTCATTACTATATATAAAGCAATTATACTAGCAAAAATGGAATACGGTGCAGTCATTTATAATACGGCCAGAAGCAAAATTCTCAATACACTAAATCCTRTACACAATCAARGCATTAGACTAGCCACAGGTGCCTTCCGCACAAGCCCAACTGCAAGTATTATGTGCAACRYTGGAGAACTCCCACTTGAATTTAGAAGGATTAAAGAAACACTAAAATTTGTAACTAAATTCTCAAATAACAAAACTCAAGTTCCAACCAGAAGACCTGTGAATATACATAACAATCCAAACATACCTCTCACTATCGATGACACGTATAAGAACATAGCAGATATAATGAAGTTCAAACCAATTATGTTTAACAGAATTA